CCACAACTAGACTGAAGAACAAAACGACAGCAACTTGTCTGTTCCCCTTCCCCAATTCCCCAGCACTGTTCCCATCCTCCCAATTCCCCAATAAAAAAAATCTTAAAAAAAAAAAACACAAAAAAACCCCTCAATGACATAATTTTCCTTGGTACATTTTGTGTCTCTAATTCAGCTATTTATTCTTATAGTGTACATCTTAGATACACTGCTAAGGTTCATTTTTAACCTTACCATCACCCTGATTATTAATGCCCCACCAAGAACAGGGAATGACATTTCAAATGTTTCAAAATGATGTTTTGCTAATTGCTTATGTCTTCCTAGTTCTATATAACTTACCGTTAAGTGAGAGGGTTAAAAAATAATGGCAAAGTAATCACCAGTATACATTTCTCAACACAACGAAAAATACTAAAAACATACTAAAGAACTTCAATACTTAAATGAGGCTGGTGTCCATCCTTCTGTGATGTAAAGAATATATCTAGGGGCGGCCGGATGGCTCAGTTAGAGTGCATTCTCTTAACAAGGTTGCCGGTTCCACTCCCACATGGGATGGTGGGCTGCGGCCCCCACAACTAGATTGAAAATGGTGACTGGACTTGGAGCTGAGCTGCACTCTCCACAACTAAGACTGAAGGACAACAACTAGACTTGGAGCTGATGTATCCTGGGAAAAACACAATGTTCCCTAATAAAGTGATAATAATAATAATAATAATAATAATAATAATAATTCTTTTAAAAAATACATCTAGAACATGAAAAACATACCCTATTATTTGCTTTCAAATTTTTCTGTGGGTTTCCATAAAGAAAGGTAAATATGTACCACTCTATATTTTCTCTCAATATGAAATGTAAAAAGTTCACTCAGGATAGCAAACTGAATCAGTATTTATCTAACTTCAGAAAAAGATGCTCAAGACAAAAGGAAAAGATCCTTTAACATAAAAGTATCATAATAGAATGATTATTATTGCTTTCATTTTTTTAAATGCTAAAGGTCAAAAAACACTTAGACAAAAAAGAAAAAAAAAAAGAAGTCATGGCAAGGCAATAAATCCATTATCACTTGGGGACATTTACAATGATTTTATCTATATTAAATATTTAAAAGAAATTAAGAATTCAACCTAGTTTATAGGGTCTTATCTGTTTTTAAGAATTAGCTAGTGGTCAGATTATACTTTCTTTACTACAACTTTTTAAAAAATTAGGTCAGTTAAGGAAATTTAGGTTAAGATAAAAGTGAATTTTCTGGCAGAAATGGCATATACTGTCTGGTAAACAGATGTCCTCTTAATTTCTAAAACTATAAGAATAGTCACTGATTTTTTAAAATGACATTTCCAAATAATATACTAACTTTGCAATGCTGAATTTTCTAAGCAGACTCCTTAGCATTGTTTGCAAAATATGAATTTAAAAACATATAACATTGTTTTCTGAGAAGAAAAGGAGTCTTTTTCTTATTTTTCTGTGGAATCTGTAATATAACTGAATAATATTTAAAATCTCATAAGATTAGCTTTTCTACAATCAACTTTAAATTTTTAAAGGAAATACTTACTGGTTGCTCTGGTAAATCTTGTTCTTCTTCCATGAGGACTAATTATTTCTTTATCAGGCTTATGTGTCTGAATCGCGAGTGTCTCTCAGCAGTCTTCACAGTCTGTATAAAAAAGAGGGGAATTCAAAGCTTTATATGCTCTGAAAGCATTATCATTCAGGCCATCAGAGAATAATTTTTTAATATTTTGTTACCCCAAGCTTTCCACGTGAGTTCCAATCTCAAAATCTCAAACTTGCACGTGGCTTTTTAAAATTGACACGCTGCACCAAGTCAAGATAGGTATGATTTTTATAATACCTTACAAAAGCCAGCACGTGTAACCACTGCTGCTGTACTTAAAACATGGTTACTATAGTGCCTAATGCATTAAACATTTTACAATGACAGCCATATGCTGATAACTAGAACATTTTTTTTTAGGGTTAGAGTTATATTTTTAATGATAAAAACTAGCCTAGTAAGTCAGTAAGTTATGATAACATCTACCCTGCTTTAATGTAGAACATTTACATAACTGTTAACAGACACACAGAATCACTTTAAATGGGACAAACTGGAATATCAATTAAATACTTTTCATAACCAACTATTTGTATGTATGTAATCAATTTAAAGGAAAACTCAATTCTTCTGGATCTACTTTAATAATGCAAATAAATAAGTAAAGTGAAACTCTGAATTTTAGAATTAGGGAAAAATAGTCGTCTAAAGCCGGGACCCAATTTTATTCTGAAATGAGCGCCACTAAATATGCTGCCTAGTCAATTATTTAAGCAAAATCTTTACCTTCTTAGATCCTGTTCTTCCTGTCCTGATTTTCAAACTAAAAAAGAAAAATAGGACTCTAAGCCCCACATTTACTGGTAAGAACACATTATTGTGCCCTTCTGGCAAGATAGAGATACAGACAGACAATAGAAAACTTAAATAAATTATGAAAACTAAAAACTCCATTATTATTTAACAAAAATGAAATCAGCACGTCTCTGAAAGATGTGACTGCTTATGCTTTTAATTAAGGTCACACCTGTTTTCATTTCTCCCAACCACTGTAACCAACTTAACATATAAAGCTAAAGCGAATATAGAATCTTACTGCAGAAGTAATGAAAATAGGTTAAGTAACATGAAAAGGGGAATGAAAAACTTCAGTTATGCCAATATACCACCATTCCACGTCTATTGCTCTATCTTGGTGCAGTACAACACACTTTCAGAGCCACACTCCAGAATGGGAAAAGGAGAGAAAACATGTAAGGGATTCAAAAATGTCCAACTCTGACAGCTTTACTCCCTGCCCTGATCTAGAATGTCAAAAGAAAAAAAAGTTTAAAGGTCAGAAGCAGTGGATTCTCAATGCATTCACGTGCAGCTCATACACACAGCCTCAAAAGCTAAGTTCTCATACTATCTGACGTAGGTAACTAGTGCTGCAGAATTACAGAGAGCAGTAACTAAAGCTCACAGCAACTATCTTCCTGTATTTGTTTTGTTCTACTCAGAAGAGCATAATCAATATGACGTGAAACTGACTCACAATTTTGAAAGATAAAACATTTTCATGTTTCACCAACTTATATCTATCTTAGTTTTAAAATGAAATGTCTTTGCTTTAAGGGATTTTTATACTGTCTAAATGTACATAATGTTCATCTATGATTTCATCCCATAAGAAAGAGCCAAATCATTAGGAAAATATAATGCCTCATTTGTTGAATATTTATGTGACCAGCTCTCACCTAAACAAAAAGTGATAATATTCTATGTTTTACTTAATTCAAGGCAATAACTGTAATAACTGCTATCTCTACTTAGTAGATTCTCCGAAAGGGAGAGGGAGGGGATATTCCTTCTCATGGGGGAAGGGTTATAAAATCTCTCTGGGCAAGAGGAAGGTAAGAAAATCGTTGTTTGTTTGTTTTTTTAAAAAAAGGATACTCAATAACACATGATTTAATTTGGTTTTAAACATAGGAATAATTTATTTTTAAAATATGAACATTAAAGAACATCGATTTTTATTGATCAAAAGGGGTTATATGGGTTTTAAAAGGCAAGAAATACTACTCTTAATAGAGGGGAAATAAATTTTCAAGTCACACAAAACGTTAAAATCTTGAATTTTGCTTTTTAGAAATACAAAATATATCTAAAAATATTACAGTGATTTTATAATGGATATGGACTAATTTTCCAATTTCTTGAAATAAATTCTACGGTAAGTTGCAAGAAAACCTTCTTTAAGAGGAAAATTGGAAGACATTTCTTTCTATCTCAATTTCTTTTATGAAAATAAGCAGCCTTTGATGTTTCTATCTTTAAAATTACCTTTATTTTATCAGCTTTTAAATTTAGTGGAATAAAATGGACATAGATAATATCTGTATTTAAAAAACTTTAAAAATCAAGTAACTGGTTAATGATCACTAATAATTTTGATCATTTTAAAACAAAAAAAGAATCTACAAAGAAAGCATATGATGTATTACAGAATCTTCTGGGATTCTACGGGCAACATGACATGTGTGAAGTTTGCAAACATATATTCTGGTACATTTGTGTATAAAATGTATTGATAATGACTATACATTACATAATTTCATCACAACATGCATCTAAGATACTCCTTTCCATCAACACAGTATTCTTCCTTCCTTCCCAAAATTTGAAAGACCTGAAATATAAGAACATACTAAATACAAGAATGCAACTATTTATCATGTTCCCAGTATTTATCAGTGTGCTGAAACTTTTTTAAGATCTCACACCATTTTCTACAGTGGCATGTGATTACAATCAAAAGTCACATTTGCTAGCAACCAGATGCAAGTATTATATAACACAGACACAGTAATCCAGTACTTGATAATAAAAAAAAATACAGAATTACTATATAAATCTTAGTATTCTCACTTCCATGTACTAGTTTTAGAGTCTAACCTAATTGTGTGGTTTTGGTTTTTTTTTGAGGGGGGAGCTGTTGGGGTTTTTTTTATTTTTATTAATGTAACCTGACATTATTCTACATTCAACAAGATTCATCTTTTAAATATCCAATAATATAACAGCTTGACGTAGCAGTGGAAAGTGGATTCTTAATGTAATTTAAATGAATATAATTATAACTTAGCCAACATCCGATAAAATTACAAAACACACTCTGAATTCATCTTTTGTTTTAAGTATTTTTAAGGCACTTGAATAGTAATGTATTTTCATAATTTTCTAGTTTCAATTCTTACATTTGGTTCCTAAATACAGCTGTTTCATCGCCTTTTTTAGAGTTTGTCAGTATCTAGATGCCTTCATTAACAGAAATCTGGGAAAATCTACAACTGAGAACAGAAATAGTATTTCCTAAGACTTCACATTTCCCTACCTGAAAATGCTGACAATGAAAAAATAGAAACTTTGGTTTGATTCAATAAATTCACACAATTTTAAATATTGTCATTTCACATACTCATAAATAAAAGCAGGGTATTTTTGTAATATGGCAGCCATAATGTTTAATCCTTAGAAATCAGAAGGGAAATAATTAGTAACAAATATTTTACTTCAAAATTCTAATTAGATTGCCTCATAATTTCTGTTTTGTACCAAGTTCAACATACTATTTACCCTGTAGTTATAAATGGCCACCTAAGAACTTAGGTAAGTTACTTCAATGTGTTATTATAGCTCTTAAATATAGGAAAGAAAATTAAAAAAAAAATATATATATATATATGAACATTTTAAAGCACAGAACAATTTTTTTACAGAGAAAACAAAGTATACATCACTATTAATTACAATATCAAGAGAGGTATCTAAGTAGAGCAAAACAGTCTGATTACAGGTCCTAGCAGGGAAACTTGTATGTGGCTAAGTGTGCACAGAGATATTCAGTAGTTAACTGAATATATTTGATACAGTTCTAAGTAGAAAACAGGTCGTTCATAAATTTGATCACTGACTACTTAACTACCCACTCCAGAGCCTTATATATATTTTTAAAGCACACCAAAGAAAAGGCTACAGAAATTTTCCTGGAGAAAATTAACAGCGTCCTCCCCCAATAATAGTTATAAACAATAGTAGCCTAAAGAAGTATTTAAAAAGTGGTCTATCACCACTTAAGATTTTTATTAATATGTGGATTACCTTAGGACTTAAAATAAGAAATTAGCAAATGTTTACCATGGTATCCTCAAAATAATTATGTGTATGCCTTGAAGAATGAAAACAAAAAGGAAAATGCCTTCTTCTAAATGGCTTTAAGATGACTACTTCAAGTATTGTTACTCAACAATAACTGATCTATTCTAAAGAGGATCTATCAATGAATTGAGAAACAAGTGTCCTAACACCCAAAGTACCAAACATGAAGTCTAAAGGTATCTCTTCAAAATAAATTCTAATTCATAAACTAGGAGGCTTAAAAGGCAAAATCAGAAAACATGTCAAGAAAAATAGTTTTAAAACTTTTCTGTGGTCTCTTGCAGAACAGTGCTTATTAGCAGTAAGTGTTGGTGGGGATGGTACTAATTAGTAATTTGGGATTTGTAATGTACAGAACATATACATTAGGTTTCAAATGAAAAATAAAGGTTTATTCCAACACCTACAAATTTCTTACTGAAAATTTGGCAAAAATAACAATGAATATCTTGGAGGAGAGGAGAATAACAGAAGCATTAGAGGAAGATCTGCCCTACACCAGTCTTTAAAATCAATTATAGTGGGAAGAATAAGAGCTATCATTTACAGAGCATTTATAATACAGCAAGTATTGTTACATTTGATGTCTTACCTAATTTTATCTCCACAACTATCCTAAGACACAGGTGGTATCATTCTTATTCTATGGACAGGGCAACTGGGATTCAGAGATTTAAACAATTTGCCTCAGACAGCAATAATGCTTCAGGTTAAAGTAGAAATACATCAAGTAAAGAGTCTAGAGGGTAGTGGTGATGGCTGCATAACATTGTGAATGTACTTAATGCCACTCAATGGTATACTTCAAAATGGTTAAAATAGTTAATTTTCTTATATATATTTTACCACAATAAAAAAGTACAAAAAGACCCATGAGACTAGAAATACCAAAACAA